CCCCTGTCCTCGCCTTTCCCTAACCGTCTCCTCCCTCTCCTGCTCCCTGCTCCCCACTCCCTCTCCCCTTTCCCTCCCACTTGCCCACCCCTGCTTCCCTTCCTTTTCCAACCTTTCACTCCCCCTTTCCCTGACCCTTTTCCCCCATCTCTACCTTTTTTCTCTCAACCCCTCAATGCCCCCATCTCAATCTGTGTCTCTGTCTCCCCACCTTTTACTCTCAACCTTTTCCTCCTCTCCCTGTCCTTCCCCTACCCCTCTGCGTGCTCTATCTCTGTCTCTCTCTCTCTGTCTGTCTCCTCCTCTCTCTCTGTCTCTCTCTCTCTTTCTCTCTCTCTCTCTGTCTGTCTCCTCCTCTCTCTCTGTCTGTCTCCTCCTCTCTCTCTCTGTCTGTCTCTGTCTGTCTCCTTCTCTCTCTCTCTGTCTCTCTCTGTCTGTCTCCTCCTCTCTCTCTCTGTCTCTCTCTCTGTCTCTCTGTCTGTCTCCTCCTCTCTCTCTCTCTGTCTCTCTCTCTCTGTCTGTCTCACTCGCTCGATCTCTCTCTCTATCCATTCTCCCACCCCCCCAGACCATTAAATGCCTTCTGATCCACCCGAACCCGGAGTCGGCCTTGAACGAGGAGGCGGGGCGCCTCCTGCTGGAGGAGTATGGCGAGTATGCCTCTCGGGCCCGGCTGCTGACCGAGATCCACGCGCGGGGGGGTCGGACCCGGGATGGGCCTGCCAGCGGCCCACCCCCACCCCCCACCTCCTCGTCGTCGTCCTCCTCCTCCTCCTCCTCCTCGTCCTCCTGCGGTGGGAATGCCGGGAGCTGCCCCCCCTCGCCCTGCGGCGCTGCCCCTCCCCACGAGGGGCCCACGGCTAAGAAACACGCAGGGGACAAGAAACCTCCAGCTTCCGGTCCCTCTGCTCCCGCCGGCTGCAAGAAAAAATGTGAGAAGAAGAGAGCGCTGCGCAGGCTGTAGGGAGGGGAGGGGAGGGGGGGTGCGCAACACGTCAGCTGGGTCCTTCCCCCCC